GGTTATTGGGGCCTTGGGAGAGTAAATGAAGGAGTGTGCCTGACAGATTGAGTTTAAATTATGCTGTTAAGCAGAGTCCCTCTCAACTGCTGCTTATTTTCTGGTGAATTAGAGAAGTGATGGTGCTGATAGGAACACCACATCTCAGTTTGACCTAAAGGGTTTTTATTTTGCTACTTTTTGTTTGGAGGTTTTTGTTGAACAGAGGCTGTCCTGTAAAGTCAATTTCCATTCAATGACCAGTAGCATGGTCACTAGTTCAAACCACCATAGCTGCAATAATGTATTGGATTATCTCTGTTTTTTAATGACAGCACACTTTGCTTTGTTTGCTTTGTAGGTATACTACATCTCGAAGGCTACACTGAAGGTGGCCAACAAACYGTACTCAACATTAAAGCACGATTATGAGATAACGCTCCACGCTCATTCATCTATAATACCATGTGATGARGGTGACGAAATCCCCACGTTGCATTGTGACTTTGTGCCCATTGAAGAACTGGAAAACCGAGACAAAGATGCCATTATTGGTAAGAGATAAAGTTTGTYGTGTATAACTAATACAAGCATTGGAAAAAGTATTGTTTCATTTGTAAAAATTACACAGAATGGCTTGTGGTCCAAACTAGGTGTGTAARGATACATTGATCCAAATCAATATATTCATTAAATGATTGATGATTCAATGACATCGAGGCAAAACGAAAACATCATTTACTAAATGATTGTTAGATGGGCATGTAAGAAAATTTAGTGTTAGTTAACTGAAATTGTGACGAAACCACATAAATATTGAATAGATTAAAAATGTGAAGTGAATGGACCGTACAACACCAGTGACTGGAGTGAACGCTGGTTTATTGCTGTCTGTGCAAGCAGGAAACCAACGCTGAAGAAAACCGGAAGTCCAGGTGTGTAAATACATGCTCTTCAGTGCCTGGTACGCCCATTACTGGCCTACAGCTGAATCGCAGATACTCATACAAAAAAACCTGTACTTGTGTTTAATGTTTTTTTATGTGTTATGATAATGTTTCGGGCATGTATCTAAACTATTTTAATGAAGACATAACAATAGTCAAACAATAGATTATAAAAGTCAATAGTAAAAAAGGAAAACTATGGAAATGGTGTAGTGCTTTTAAAATCAGTATCTAACATGACAAATTTCTTCAGACACATGGTATCGCCTCATATTGATCACAGACTTGTAAATTGAATTGAATCGAAATCATATCGAAACAGATTTTGTCATATTGAGAAACATCATAACGTAATGCAAACAAATCAATGTAATATTGTATTGTGATAAATCTGGTGATTTACACCCATAGTCCAAACTGGGGATTGAATCCAGGACCTTTTTGCTGTGAGGCAACACTGCTAACCTCTACACTGTTGTGTTGCCATTTTAGATAATCAGCCTTGAGACTTAATGAATTTAGGAGTTTTAAGCATTCTTCTATAATCGATGGGCTGTGTCAGGAGTTGCGACCTACTTAGRTCACATGTGGGCCGTTCTGTCATAGGCTGTCTCATTTTGTAGGCTCACACTCATGCGGCCCACAAAACCRCAAAAAACGTAGGTTGCATCTGAGTAACGTACATGGCCGAGGACATCCCTGGATTCATTGCGCTGTCAGCAAACTAACCAGTAAAACAAAGGTGGGTGAGGTTTTTTATGGCAGAATTTGGAAATTCATCACAGACTGCGGAATTTATTTTAAAATGTATGTTTAGCAACTTAACTGGTTAAATTTTTGCTCCAATGAGATGTTAAATCTCAAGTGCTGATACTGGAGCTAAACCCAAATTCTAAGATTCTTTTTTTAATCAACATGTAACGTTTTTAATAAAACGTAGAATTTTGTGAAGTTATACCTTTCATGAAAAGACGTGTGAATACATGTGATACAAAACTTATCACCATTGTAACGGGGTAGTGCACGGTCACGCAAACGTGTCATCCAAAGACTTGACCATCTCACAGGCATTTTGTGCAGCCCTACATGAACTGCGAAGGGTTTGGCTTACGTGGGCTGCAACCCCTGACAGCCTACGACTGATGTGAAGTTTTTACACAGAACAAAATGAAATTATAAGATCAGATTATTTCTAACTCAAAGTAATATAAGCAAATACAGCATGTCACTGAGCTACACTGAGCGGTTCGAGTGAGGGAATGTGTTTGCGTTGGTTATAGAGGGGCAGCATTGCGTGTCCTCATCTGTCGACTCTTCATTCTCTCTCCCCTCGATTCCTCCACTCTTTCCTCCTTTGTTAAACAGGGGATTATAACATGGTAATGAGAAGCGTCAGCCTGTTCCTGTTGTGATAATGGAGTTCATAGGTGGATGACATCGTCTCAATCATAATGGAATTAAGCAAGGCTGAGAGAACACTGACGGAGAGCAAACGGAGGGATTGGGGGGAGGCAGCGGGAGTTTATATAAAGGTTAACAGAAAGTGTAGACAGGAGGAGGAAGCTGAGAGAAAAACTGGTTTAAAAAAACGAGTTTCGTGATATGATCCAGTCCTTTTTATTTAATGCGTGGACACAAATGTTGAAAATATACACCAGCACCAACATGTAAGGCGTGCTGGGGAGCTTTTAACCCACCACAAAATGTCAGCTTTGACCAAAATGACTACAACTTTGTCGCTTCTCAACGTAAGATGATCTCMGTCTAAACTCTGGCACGTAAGGCGGTAAACAATATGAATTTKTTTGAGGAATACTAGGCCATTACTTCTTTGTTTTGTTTGCTTCATACACAATAAGCCATAGAATGCATTACACATGAGTTACACTCCTGCTGCAGTTATACAGAGTGAAAAATAACAGTAGCAACACCAGGGAGGTTTAACAATGTGAAAAACAAATAAACAGAAGGAGACTGCTGGTTTGTTTGTATAAATTTAAACTAATCARGGCCATATTAAAGCAATCACTTTTGTTGTGTTATTTTTATGAGTAATAGCACAATTCAGTYCATTGTGGTATCACAAGAGTAGCAATGCTGATTGTAAACACAACTGTTTTTGCTCATTAGAAAACGTATAAACAACTCTGAGGCTTACAATTCTACAAATATTGTATTTAATTTTTTTCYTTTTGTTATATTATAAATGAGCTGCATTTCTTCGAACAATTGAGTTWAAAAAATCAGGACAAAATGCACATTTATGGTGTTTAATCACATTAATTCTTATTAATTTATTCATACTATCCTCATTGCATTATTTGAGTTTTTTTCAATGTAGTTTTTAAAGTTTATATGGTACTGCATTTTCAACCTTATATTTTCAGTAGTGAAGTCAGAATTGTTTTTTTTTTGTTGACAGAACATGAATAATAAGTATTGTGATTTGGAAAATGTTCATGAGCATTAGCTTGTTGCAAKATTTGTATCATTTTGCTGCGATATCTTATACATTATATGGTCTAACCTTGAGGAATATTTACACTTCATTTTAAAGAAYTCTTGAAAGCTCTTTTGTTTTTATTCTCKTCTATAAACARATCTGCCTGCAATTATGAGCTATATATTGATGAATATCGAAAATTGTTCTTCTGCCTTTTAGATATAATTGGAGTGTGCAAAAGTGCCGAGGATGTTTCTCGTGTCACCACTAAAACCAGCAGAGAAGTCTCTAAGAGGGCTCTCAGCCTAATAGACATGACTGGCAAAGAGGTGACGGTCACGCTGTGGGGAGAGGAGGTAAGAACTGTAATTTGGCGCTCTGACTCTTCGTCTGAGTGGATTTGTGTTTTAACATGAAAACAAAGTGAGCTGACTGAAATGAATTGTATATTTTGGAAGGTGTGTCTGTGATGTGCGAGTGTTCGCACATACAGAGCACTTTGATTTAAAATGTGGATCTTTCAAATCGCTGCTGTGACCTTCAACACTGCTTTGAGACAGAGGACTAAATAACTCCAATGAGTGCTATTCTTCTCTAAGCTTTTTCAATCTGTGAGAGCTAATCCTTCCTCTTTGCCACAGTTTGAAAATGACTTTCAAATTAACTTGTAAGTTATCTAATTATTAATGCAAACTGATATTACTTTCTGTCATGTCCACGTTTCAGACACGTACTGCACATAAATGATCATGCTTTTGTTATTTTTGAATGTTTGTCTTAAATCGCTGATTGAGTTTTTTGTTTTCTTCTCCAGGCAGAGAAGTTTGACGGGTCTGGAGAGCCGGTCGTTGCCATCAAAGGAGCTCGCCTGTCTGATTTTGGAGGCAGATCGCTTTCAGCTTTGTTCAGCTCAACAGTCATGGTCAACCCCGACATACCCGAGGCTTTTAGACTCCGGGCGTGGTGAGACACTGCAGTGTACAGCAACAATAACACACAGTCACACTGCTAATCCTATGCAGACACAGCACAAGATGTTGTTCATGAATCAAACAAAACACAKAAAAAWA